AAGAAATAGAATAAGATTTTGTTGTACCAATCATCAAAGTGTAAAAGACCAATCTCTTAGAAATCAGCCTTCAGCAATCTCACATTTTCCTATATGGATTGGGAATCATTACATTGTGCCACTTCCGAGTGTGGAGAGATTGCTTGCTTTGAAATTGGTATTCAAAATCCTAGTTCTTATCTGATATGAAACACCATGAGCAATAGAAAATTGCAACTATCTCATTCACCAAGTACTATTATTGGTGAATATACTTGATCAGAATGTTAGTTACGAAAAACATAGAAAAAAACCTTTCCAGTTCATAAGATATTTGAGCATCTAGCTTATGGCTGAAAAGGATTTTGATTTGCCACTCTTACAAATGAGGAAAGCTCACTGACATAGAAAATCAGCATTGAAAATCTGTTTTTACCAGGAGTTCAAATGCTTACCAATGACACAAGTGAAAAATATACAATTGCCTTGAGTTTTTTCAGCAATCTCTCATATTTAATGTAGAGATGATTTATTTTAACCCCCTTATTTTCTGACCTATATAGTGCTTGTTTTACAAATATGTTTTTTATTAATTTCTTTTCATTAGCTCACCACAACTAAGTACTGCAGCCAAAACTTCAATGTTTGACATTTATCTATAAATAATAACAGTACAATAGACACAGTTAAATATGCTGGTTATAATGTCTAAAGGGGCTACATTATGTCACTTGACAAGATTAAAAGTGGGGGCTTGATTTCTGTAATCAATCAATCAATAAGAAGCTTGTTGAACACCTCAATAGGAACAACCTCCTGAGCAATAACCAGTATGGATTTTGATCTGCTAGATCTGCAGCTGATGTCTTAACTGTCATTACTCACAGAATCAGCAAGGCACTAGACAATAAATTTATCATTAGGGCCATTGCTCCAGTAAAGCCCTTTGACAAAATGTTTTGGGGTTGCTACATAAACTCTTCATCTCTGGAAGGGCTTTCTCAATTATCAAGTCCTTCCTAACAAGTAGGTTAATAGCCAGTCTTTGGAAGCCCATGAGCTCAATGCCAGCATTCCTCGGTGTTCTCTCTCTGGTACTACTCAGATTCTCCTCTATTAATGATCTGCCAAAGAACATACTCCAATCTTTAGTGAATATCTGTGCAACATTTTATAAGTGCAGCTCCAAAGATCTGGAAGAACAGAACCTGGCAACTGATCTTCCTCTGATCTCTTCTGGTGGCTCAATGGGGGAAGGACTAACTTGTAAATTCAATAAATCCAAAACCAAACTATTTACATTCCACTATCACTAAGCAGGACCTGAACTTTCGCCAATCATAATGGATGGATGTTCTCACAAGGAGGGTCATTGCCTTGAATGTCTATTGGGGCTCAATATCATCCCAGACCTCAAGTAGAACTAATATATACAATCTATTGCTAAGATGCTGGAACAATGTTCAGTTCATTGTACCACTCCAGTAAGTATTTGACTCCCCCTGCTATACTCTCTTTACAAGAGCCAGATCAGACCAAAAATGGAGTATTACTACCATATGTGGGCTGGAGCTGCCCAGTCTTCACCCTATAACCACTTTTCCACAGACAAAACTCACTATTCTATCACAAGTGTTCTGATTAGCTACATTCATTGGTTCCATCAGCCCTGACCTTTGTAGTTGGGATATGCCATACCACATACATGAGAATGAATCATCCTTATTCCCTTCATATTCTATTAGTAAGAAATAAGTTCGACTTGGACAGCTTTTTCCCAAGAACTGCTGCCTTTTGGAATAGACTCATTACAATCTTAATCTCTTCAAATCTGGAGTCAACTGTAATCTTTCCTATAGGTGACTACACTATAGGTAGTAATTACCTATAAGTATCTGTAAGTCAACAGATTACACAAACTAGCTGGGATCTGTTGAGTACAACTCAGACTTACACGAGGACTACCGAATTCCAATAGTAGCACTCACTACTGGATTGACTTGTGACAACCTTGTGCATAACTGTTACCTTTATTCTTATTGTACTGGTTTTTTACAATAAACCTTTACTTATTTTATTCACCTTGTTTTTCAAGTATATATTCCTATTAGCATGGAATATAATATGTTCCAAAGTGAGGCTGATGCATGCATATTTAATGTTAATATCTTTGTTCACAAAATGGGGACCTTAGAATAAGGTTCTTTTGAAAGAATATCTTAAGACTTTCATTAAGTGTGTCGAAGGGAGGCAATAATGTTATCACATTGCATGATTGGTCTTGTTAAAATAATCTTCCTAACCAATGAAGTTGGAGAAAACAAACATAATAAAATAAGTCTTCTTTTTTGACATCTGATAAAGATTATTAAAGGATCATTAATGTTGAAATATTGTGGATATGGGTCAGGAGGTGACTTATAATGCTAAACAGGAGTGAGGCAAGTTTTTTCAGAAATACCAACAAACACTTGGGTAGTGTAAAAAAAAAAATTGTTTGCTTTATAAGTCTAGACAGATTTTATTTTCCAATAATAAATTGAAGAACATATTCACTATTTTCTTCCCTTATCTTCTGCCATCTTTCAGGCAACTTCATAATTCTATCTTTCCAGGAGTATTTATCTTTCTTTGCAAAGAACTGCTTGAGATGCCTTTAGCAGTCTTTCAATGGATTAACATTTTTTCATTAAGACAATTCTGTAAAGGCTTAAACAAATGGTGACATATTAAATTTGGTAGACAAGTAAAATCTTGCCAGTCAAATGTGTGCACTTTTTTCTTAGCCACCAAAAAAACCATATGGTCTAACATTTGCTTTCAAATGGCAAAAATGATAGCAGAACTTGAATCAATGAATCAAATATTTACTTCTTTAGAAAGAGATCGTAGAAGACTCTGCTCTAATCCCACAATACATACAGCATCACTTGTATAAAATTCTGATTTTGGTACAGTTAATGGTGATTAATATCATTTGTCACCACTATCTTATGTTGTAAAATATCTATTTTTCTTTGTCAATTACAAGTTATTTAAAAAACAAAATATATAAATAAATTCAGTGGTGGTACTTGGAAGCCACACAACAAAGCAACTAACAAAATCTGGTGCAAATGATTTACAGTACATGATTTAGATATTTTTTGTATGTTATATACTGTATTTAATGTATGTTAGTATTAAGTATACTGTCATGTAACATTGGTTATTCTAAGTAACATTTTGATTTAATTGTTATTAATCTCATTTTGTTTACTTAGCTGTGGGGTGTTGTCCAATGTACAACTTCACAAGCCACTTTTGATGTATTCATTCACAAATCATTCTTCACAAGCTGTACAAAATGTTTTTACATTTAAAATACATTCGTGCCTTTATTGAAATAACAGAAAATATAAAATACAAAAGGTTGTTTCCTCTTCTTAGCATCAATAAACAAAAAGATGCCAATTTTGACAATATTTAAGAAAAGAAAAAAATGAAATACATGCTGATATCACAACTGAAAAAATACAGTGAAGTATATATTTTTTATTTTTTTTAAATGAAGTTAAAATTGAACTATGCTAATGACTATAATGAAGTTTATGATCAACACAAGCACCTCATTGTGGTTTAATGATCAAGAAGCTGAATTTGTAGATCATTAGTAATGAGTTTGATCTTCACTGAGTATCTCATACTTGTAACTGTTTACCAAAATATTACCTATTCATAGTCAATAACAACTTTAGGATGAATTCAGTAGTTTTTCCAAACCAATTACCCCACTCCCTAAAAAAAAAATAGCTAATAACCAAATACAACTCAGAACTTGTCAGCATCCATGTCTGATAACTCATGAGTGTGTTGGATTTTAGCTGGATGAATTAGACAAACATACAAGAAAAATACCATAGATTGGTGATTTCAGTAAACTGTTCAAGATAATTAGTAAACATCAAATGATTTATGGCATTGTTTTGGACATTTATCAGTTATAAACAAAGAAGTTATAATATTAAAAAATACTGTTGTTAATGCAATAACAACAGACATAATTAAAGAGAACCAAAAAGGAAAACCTCAACTAGGTTTATTTGGTACAATAAAAATAGGAGTCAAAAAGAATGTAATGAGCTAACTGGTTATTATTCTCCACTTGTCACAGCTCAATTGAGGAAAATAAAATTATTGTGCACACCAACTAAAAAATGAAACCCAACTCCGAAAATACACTTGTATCAATAATATATTTAGACTGGTATATTTTTATCAACAAATCACATTTAGTCTGCTTGCATAAGGAAAGTTGTTTTGATTTAATGAAAATAGTTTCAACGATCTTTAAATGATAGTTGGAATGCAATCTGCACAACATATCCTCCTCAAAAAATGATGCACCCTCTCAATTTTCTATAACATGTTCTGCAATTGCAGACATAGATGTGATGACACACTTATGTAAATTATCTAGTCAACCTTTCTAACAGACGCAAGGACATGTTGAATAATTCTCTTCTCTAGAACTCGAATTGTCCTATCTATATAGTCAGTTGACATTGCCATTTAAATTCAAATATTACAGAACTAGCATAGAAGATTTCAACGTGGCTCAAAAAGAACATAATGTGTGAATTGACTAAAAAATAATATTCCCTAACACTAGCAGAGATTGATTTTCTTAATAAACCTCACACTAGTTTTGCCTATCCACAGCAGTCTACAATATAGAGAACATTTTCAGTCCCAAAAGTTTTTGACTTATGGTACACTGCAATGTTAGCATTAATATTAGATTTCACCATATCTAGAGGCCAGCCATTATCACAAAATATTTTCTGAATAGATTCTTATTCCTGTTCTAATTTATTCTTAGAACAGATCAACAAGGCCCAATGGACTAAGGTTTTTATATTAATTTTTTTACTGACTAGGATAAAATGAATCCCAGCTAGTCTATAATCCGCTAAATGTGGCTTTTCAGTACACAAATGTAACAAAGTTAGAATTTTGTCTTTGTACTGACATATCCAAGAATGATAAAGCAATATCACTCTCCTTTTCTTAGGTGAGTCAGAGAGCTAGATGCAAACCATTCAAAACTTCATGAAATGCCTTCAACTCTCAATTAAACACACAGAAGGTGTCATCAACCAGTTAGCTCATTCTGTTTTTCTTTTTTCTTCATTTTTTTTCTTTCTTTAGATTTCTTTTCTTTCATTTTTTCATTTTTCTTTCATTTTTTCATTTTTCTTTCTTTTTTTCTTTTTCTTTTCCTTTTTCCCTTTTTTCTTTTCCTTTTTCCCTTTTTTCTTTTCCTTTTTCCCTTTTTTCTTTTCCTTTTTTCTATTCCTTTTTTCCTTTCCTTTTTTCTATTCCTTTTTTCCTTTCCTTTTTTCTATTCCTTTTTTCCTTTCCTTTTTTCTATTCCTTTTTTCCTTTCCTTTTTTCTATTCCTTTTTTCCTTTTTTTTTCTATTCCTTTTTTTCTATTTTTTCTATTCCTTTTTTTTTCTATTCCTTTTTTTTTCTATTCCTTTTTTTTTCTATTCCTTTTTTTTTCTATTCCTTTTTTTCTATTCCTTTTTTTTCTATTCCCTTTTTTTCTATTCCTTTTTCCTTTTTTTTTTCTTTTCCTTTTTTTCTTTTTTTCCTTTTCCTTTTTTTTCCTTTTTTTCCTTTTTTCTTTTCTCTTTTCCTTTTTTCTTTTCTCTTTTCCTTTTTTCTTTTCTCTTTTCCTTTTCTCTTTTCCTTTTCTCTTTTCCTTTTCTCTTTTCCTTTTCTCTTTTCGTTTTTTTCTTTTCGTTTTTTTTTTTTTTTTCTTTTCGTTTTTTCTTTTCGTTTTTTTTCTTTTCGTTTTTTTTTTCGTTTTTCTTTTTTTTTTCTTTTCGTTTTTTTTTCTTTTTTTTTCTTTTCGTTTTCTTTTCGTTTTTTTTTTTTTTTTCTTTTTCTTTTTCTTTTTTCTTTTTCTTTAGATTTCTTTTTTTCTTTTTTCATTTTTTTTTTTTTTTTTTTTTCCTTTTTTTTTTTTTTTTTTTTCCTTTTTCCTTTTTCTTTTCCTTTTCCTATTTTTTTATTTCCTTTTTCTATTCCTTTTTTTTCCTTTTTTCTCTTTTTTTTCCTTTTTTTTATTCCTTTTTTTTTTTTCTATTCCTTTTTTCTATTTTTTCTATTCCTTTTTTTCTATTCCTTTTTTTTTTCTATTCCTTTTTTCTTTTTTTTTCTTTTCCTTTTTTTCCTTTTTTCCTTTTTTTTTTCTTTTTTCCTTTTTTTTTCTCTTTTTTTTTTTTTTTTTTTTTTTTTCCTTTTTTTTTCTTTTTTCTTTTCCTTTTTTTTTTTTTTTTTTTTTCTTTTCCTTTTTTTTTTTCCTTTTTTTTTTCGTTTTTTTCTTTTCGTTTTTTTTTTTTCGTTTTTTTTTTTTCTTTTTTCTTTTTTTTTTCTCTTTTCATTTTTTTTTTTTTTTCATTTACCATAGTTGCTTTCTCCCTTTTGGCTCTTTTAATTATGTATGTTTTTATTAGCTTTAATAAATTTTGCACCTCTAATAAAATGTCATGGATAAATGTTTGGGCTTTGCACTGGAATAACTAAAAATGTATTTTTCAATACTTTTTAACATAGATAACAATTCTGTAAAAACTATGATACTGAAAACGTTTAAATATTCCATCTACTGCATATTTTTATGCATTGGTCTTGTGCCACTTGAAGTTAATCCTCATCAATATTTACATGTAACCATGAGATAATCTAGGCATCTTTACAAGTCATGCTAATGATTCTCCTTTTTCCATATTTGTCAAATTTGGCACTTGTGTGTTTTCACCAAATTGATAGTTGTATTTTACTTCCAGTTTCTATTATATAAATCATTACCCTGCTTCCATAGATCTATTGCTGGTGTGGAGTGACAAATATTAGATATATTTTTTTTTAATTTAATAAAATGTTAATGGATGCAAGCAAAATACAGCATTTTGAGGCACAGAAATAAATTTTCCATCTTAGACACAATTTAAGGAATTTTTTAAAATTTACTTTGAATTATTTTGTCTTTGTTTTAAATGTTAACAAAAGTAGCAGTCATTCACGACAGGGAAAAAAAGTATCTATTTTTCTATGCAACTCCTGAAGTTGAGGTAAGAGTTCAAATTTGCAATTTGCTTATGAGAATATTTTAATTGAAAATTTGAAACGAGATACATTTTATGAATTTATCAATGTTCTTTATTTATGTTTGTATACAGTAATTTCTAAAATATTCGATAGATACTAAAGCCATACTGAAACCATATCATTTTCATCATATATTTGTCATTCATGTTAAACTTAATTTTATATTTGAGATAGATTTTTCTAAAATATAATTTTTATCATTGTCCCTGTTATTGTCAATTCTGTAGAATTGAAATGAAAAAGTTCTTTGGAAACCTTAAGTTTGTAACCTAATTTTATTTAGTCAAAATGAATTGTACAAATTTTTTTATCTTTAATTCATTTTTACTGCTATGCTAGTGACTTTTTTTTTCTTACATTGATGCTATGTGATAGCAAAATCCTTGTTATCAAATATGTTACCATTATCATATACATGTTTTGAATATCTTGAAACACAAAACTGAGTCACCATGAAGTGTTGATTCCTATGCCCACACTCTAAATTTACAATAATTATATCCCTAATGTTGAGCACTCTTTTCCAATAAATGCAACATTTTTTTAACTACACACACATAACTTTTACATTTAAATTATTCACCACCTTTTATTTCTTTTTAATTTAACCTGCAGAGATAATACACTTTTCTTTGTTGAAACTTACAAAACCTTGAGAAAGTACAGTTTAAGAATAGTATCTCTTATGTTTGTACTTTAAAACGTCAAATTTTCATTTTAGTTTGATTTGTGCAATCTGTGGACCTCATAACTTTGAGCATTACTCATATTCAGATTGAGCACTGTAAAGTAGAATTTTAAATCACAGTTACTTCTTTTGCTATATGCTCTTTTCAGTATAACACATTACCACTTAAGCCCATACCTACATAGACAATTAAACTCCTTAATCCCCTTTAATCCCTTACATCTATTAACTAAAATAGACATCTCTTTTGTTCCTCTCAGTTTTCTTGTTTATCATTCCACTCATTTATAGATAAGTATAATCAACTTACACAAGAAATATTATAAACTAAGACAGGCAGAATAATGTTCTACTAATATATATATATATATATATATATATATATATATATATATATATATATAACATGTTGTCTAGGTACCACCAAAAATACATTAAAAAAAACGCAATACCTAGTTTAAAATAAGTTTTTTAAAATCTTTCTTGAAGCTTTTATTTTAGTCTTAATTTCAAGCTAATAGATATAATTTAATATTTCCAATAAGCAAAATACTTACTGTATTTCAAAATTTAATTTAAATTGACTAGGAATTGTTTTTGTTCTGTTTGATTTTTTTTTTTTTTTGCTAAAAAATTTGATTATCACTCCTTTTTTAGTTGTTGTTCATCACAAAGTAATTCTCTTTATTAAAAAATGAAATTTGAGAAATATTAACAGATTTAGAGTATAATTAATCTCATCTGAAACAACTATTGTTTACATTAAGTTTAAAATATAAAAAAAAAATGAATTTTTCAACCTAACAGTACCTGTTTGTTTAAGGCATTTGTGGGTTTGACAGATTGATATTTAATGTTCTATGGGGGCTTTAGGCATTAAAAAAAGTAATTGAATTAACATAAGCACCTATATATAATTTTTAAGTACTCGTTAATCTTAAAAATTTAAGAAAAAATTCTCTGTAATCTAATATTTTATTGAATTTTAAATATTTGTCAGTAAATTTACTATAGTTATCCCCCTTATTTTCTGATAATGTTATGTATGGTCCATTATATAATAGAAAATAGGCATGTTTATACATATTAAAAAATTCAAAATTCTTTTAAAAATATTAGTGCAGGATGATTTGTATTAAACTTTTCAATTTATTATTAGTAAATATAGTTTTTACTTAATAACAATATCACATAACTTAAGATTTAAAAACCTGTACAAAAGTTTAAAACTATATAAATTATTATAATTAAAATTAAAAAAAAAACGAAAAAAACAATTCTTCTAAAAATTCATAAAAACAATTAAGATTTTCTAATGAAATGATGTCTTAGTTTGATTGCATTTTTATTTTACAATTCAGAGCAGATTTTCAGGAAATGAGAAACTGTTTGAAAAACTAAAAAACAACAAACAAACAAATTGATGATTTACATTCTCCAAAGAGTCCTGCTTTCAACTAATATGAAACAGGACAAAATTTAATTTCCTGAACTTTCATTAAGTATGCAAGTGGGGATAACAGATGTAAAAAAAAAAAAAAACTATTTCTACCATCATTTTTTTAACAAGGAAAAAAATATCTAAAATAATTTAATTGGTTTGTCAATAAGTCCTGAAAGTTTCATTAAAATCTGACAATTATTTGATTTTGGTAAGAATTTCCAAATTCATATGTTTTTTACTGGGGAAAAAGATGATAAATTTCCTAATACTAATCTTTGTCCCACTTGCTGATGCAAAAAAAAACAACTGTCTTTAACCAGAATTTCGAATATGCTTGAAAGGATTAAAAAATTTAATAAAAAGAATAAAAAATACTTTGGTCTTCCTACTTAATAATAACAAACATTTTGACAATAAAACTTTTTCATTGAGTTTGGGGCCTTTTTTTTTTTTTTTCCAACATGGTATGCTTTTTTTTCTTTTTTTTTTCTCTCTCTCTCTTTTTAGCAAAAAAGTGGAAGTGCCTAATTTTGTTTAATATATTCTACTTTCTTAACTGCAGTATTGAGTAGCTGTAAATATTTCATTATATTTACAAATAACCTTTGTTTATATTTTTCATTTAATCCTCCCCTATGCAAATTTAATAAAATTGAATGAAGAGAAATAAAAAAAAAAAAAAAAAAATTTTATTTGAAAATCTTATATAAATTTAAAAATTGTATTAATTTATAAATATAATTTCAGACACTTTTATTTTCTCTTAAATTTCACATTAAAATTTTGAAAAAAATCTGAAGCAAAAAATAATTAAACAGATTTAAATAGAACAATTAAAAACAAATATGATTAATGGCTTCTTATGGTGAGAAAATTGTACATATTCTGAAAGATAATGTTATGAATATGTACTTTTATATAATTTAATATTGCACACATATATAAATCATTAATTTTTATTTCATTTCTTAACAGGCTTTTTCCCTACTGGATTTCCTGGTTATGCCTACGGTAGAGGCTTCCCTGCACTAACACCTGCTGGTTATTATTATCCAGGTATGGAACTCTTACAATTAGCATCTTGGTACCCGGACACACCACTAGGATTTTAAGCATTATTCTGAAATATCGGTTTGTCCTTGCCACTTGTCAAACGTTGTGGTGTGTTTGTCATCAAAGTTTCAGCTCACTGGGACATTTTTTTTTTTTTTTTTTTTTTTTTTTTTTTTTTTTTTGCTGAAATCTCCTTCAACCAATGTTAGGTTTGATGTATGCAAACAAGACATATCAAAATAAAACGAATGGAAAAATGGTTTTAAGAAAAGAAAATTGAAGAAACAGCAAAGAACAAAAAAATAGCAGAGAGAGAGAGAGCGAAAGATAAAGGAAAAACTTGTATCTCAAAGATAATGGAATTAAAACCAAGAAATAAAGAAAAGTGGAGAAAAGTTGTAAAAAAAAAATAAATAAAAAAAAAAAAAAATAATAATAAAAAAAAAAAAAAAAAAAAAAAGTAATAGTCATGTTCCAGTGTGCTTGGGAACCGGGAGTGTGTATGTACATATGTATGTGTGTGTGTATGTATGTATGTATGTATGTATGTATACTATTAACCTAAGGAGAGAAGACAAAAAATTGAAAAAAAAAAAAACAAACAAACAGCTGGTGTTTTTTTTTTTTTTTTTTTTTTTTTTAATTTTTTTTTTAATCTTCATAAGTAAAATGGATGTTTTGTTTTCCATTTTTTAATTTTTTTATGAATGTTGCACATATGCACACCTACATACACACACACGTGTGTGTGTGTGTGTGCAAATAATGCACACTTTTAAATGTTAAAATTTATATATATATATATATATATATATATATATATAAAACACATCATTTTTAATTTAAAAATACACAGCATTTTCAACTTTTAATTCTTGCCCCCTCCCCTTTTTTTTTTCTTTTCTTGTTTGATGCCCACCCACTAATTCACTATATCTACCTTTTTTTTTATCACCCCTGGCCTAAGCCTTCACTATCAACAGATCCATAAACTTGGGGGAAAAATAAAAACATCTGGTGAAAATTGATGGAGTTTGCAGAGGGGGGGATTTGGAAATTAGTGATGGGGATCACCTGTTTAAGCTGTTTCTTTACTAAATTCACTTGGGCTCGAGCCTAGATGTGTGCCTATCTTGAGCTTAGGCAAGTCATTTATTGCCCACAACCAATGGTTTGTGGGTAGTGGGGAAGGGAGTAGATCTGGTTTGCCTCATGGAAAGAATAATTGAAAATTAAGTGGGCAAAGAGCAAAAATCTTTCCCAATTCTTCAGGAAGGAAAAAAAAAAAAATTATCCTGTTTACCTACCTCCCTCCCACCCCTTCTCATACATTTGCACCCAAATTATTTTTCAATCCTTCTCCTCAAGTCCAAAAGTTTTAAACAACTTCCCTACCCAAACCTCAAATTTTAAAATATAAAATTTAAATCGACATGTAAAAGTACAATCAATCAAAGATTTAAATTTTTTTTTCCTTTCTCCCTTTCTACCATAGGGAGTCATTAAAATTTTTTTTTTTTTTTTTTTTTTTTTTTTTTTAGGTCCAAAAATAAGTCTGGTGCCAAACATTTTGTCGACAACTTTCATAGATTTCTGGGTGTATGGCATGGTTCATTTGTTTCTTTAAACCCACTGCATCAGTTTTAAATATGGTGGGCAAGAGTCTGAGACTGAAGAACAGCCATTTAAATCTTGGGCAAGTCTTTCAAGCCTTATGCCTACTGCACTTATTACCCTCATATAATTGTTAAATCAGTAGTACCTATATTCCACATCATCTATTTACAGTTTTTATGATAAGAAATGATAAAACAACCAAGGTTTGTCAGACTTTTCCTTACCTTTCCTCCAGTTGTGAGGAGGAGTTTTAAAGCTTTTATTAAGCATTGTTATTAATTCTAAATTGGAATAAGAAACCCTTTTGAAGTTCAATGGTGGTGCTTCTAAAAAGTGGTTGCTGCAAGAAGTACATTTTTAAGCAGTCATTTTTCAACAAAATGTTTAAACTAAATATTTAATAGCAAGAAAGCTTTTTTTTTTTCTCTCTCTCTCTCTCTCTCTCTCTCTCAATCTGTTATTTACATCCACCTCTCCAAACCTTGGAAAAAAATGGATGAAATAAAATCCTTTATCAATGTTGATACTATTAAACTGTTGATTTTTTTTCTTTTTTCAATGAAATTTACTGAAATGAAATTTTACAAGTAAGTTACTCAAAGAAATGTTGTTCATTTGTTCTTCTTTCCACTGCCTCTTCTCTACAATAGTTAAAGAAAAACAAAAAAAACATTGTATATGCCCTTATATACATGTCTATTCAAGTATACCTGGACTGTGCACATTTTGTGCAGCATACATATAGCAATTTTCCCCAACCTTGTCACCCCAGCAATTATAAAATAATCTTAAGATCTATAGATAAAGGGTAATAAAGGAATACTTTCAGATACACCAACTAAATTATATTTTTAACCAAAAAATTGTCTAAATGTTACCATATAACACAATGTATTTACTCACAAATTTTTTAATATTATTTTTTTTTTTTTTTTTTTTTATGGTTATCAGTTTCATACAGTAACCAAGGTAACCCAAAACTTGAAATTAGCAATGGAAATGAAATATTTTCTGAAACCTGCAGAAATTGAATGTTTAGTTTTCAACAGTTTCTAACAACATTCATGGGCCAGTAGTAAATAATTGTTGTACTGTATCTAGAGAAGCTTGAAGCTTGATTTTTGCTTTGAATTTGGGCTTTGGTCTGTATTAAATTGCCACATTTTCTATAATGGTGAGGAGTCTAAAATGGATTTTTCTTGTATGTGGTAACATTTGAACATTTACCATTTGGAAAGTAGGCTACATCTGTTATAGTGTTTGTTATTTTGCACTCTATTGGATAAGTTTTCAGGCTAAGTAAGAATTTAGATAAAATATATTGTTCATTTTCCTGTTTTGACACAATCATTCATATTTTATTTATCAATATTAATTAAAAAAAAAAATACATTGACTCCACCTCACATATCCAACCCATTCAAAAGTTCTCCCCCATTTTAACTTTCTTCTCTTATTCGCTTGACGAATATAGAACTAAATGGCAGGGCTTTCGTTTGTGACGAAAAAAAAAAAAAAAACAGGTTTAAATCTTACCCTAACCCTACCCCACTCCTTCATTCAAACTTTGTAAAAATTCCAAAAATAAAAAAAAAAAAAAAAATAAAAAATAATTTTTTAAAACTTTTTTGTTGTTGTTTTCTTTTGCTTTTTATTTTCTCTGTAAAACAAAAAAAAAAAAACTATTAAATACCTTAATGCCTAACAAAAATGTATTTTAAAAAAATTCTTGTTGAATTTTTAATTTAGAAAGGAAAAATACCACAATAAAACAGCAAAGTAAAAATGTCATGTATGGCTTCCACATATACTTACTCTTATAAAGCTAATTTGAATCTCAGCAGACAAGTACAGTACTGATGTTCCCATCACAATACACTTTTTATTTTGTTTTTTCATTTCTAAATAGTTCTTTCCCATCCCCTAATAAGCAGAATTGTAATAAAAAAAATAAAATAAAATTCCATAAATTATGGTTGCTAATATTTATTTGGCCTGGTTCACAAAATAAACCTTGCCATAAAGAACCTCAAAAACTGAGCGTTTTTTTTTTTTATGATCCTAAAATTCATTGAATGAAGGGAGGGTGTTGGGTGGGGAAGCAGAAGAATGAAAAGGTCAAGAACAAAAGATTTTGGAAATGAAAGAAACTTTTTTAAAAATCTGTCTATGCATGAGCAAATGCGCCATTCCCACTAAATTTCCTCTCATTTAATAAATTTCCTGTTTTTTCTTCCCCACTCCATGCCCCCACCGTTTTTCCTTCATTCTTTGTTTCTCATTTGAATACCTCTAATACCTACCTACCTACATAAACAGCTCTCTACAAAATAAAACAAAGAAAAAAGCCAAAAATTGTTGTGATTACATTCTCTCCTTAACAAAATCAATCTTTTTTCTTAAGAAGAAAAAAATTTTCAAATGGAAAATTTTATATATATATATATATATATATATATATATATATATATATATATATCCATTAATATGGACTTTGTTAAAATCTAATTTTGGTCAGTTGATAATATCTACACAAATTCTGTGTGCATGTGTGGGTGTGTATGTTCAATGTATATGCGCTACTTGTACAGAAAGCATATATTGTGTGTATGTGTGTGCAGTTTTGAATAGAATGCTTATATATATTATGTATATGCAAATTATATATGTATATATGTGCAGTTTATGCAGAATGCATATATCCACACACTTAATTTTTAATTATAAACAAGTACCATTTGAAAATATTTAACTGTTTTTTCTCAACAAAAACAAGTGTTTTTCCCTCCCCTCTCTAAGTAGGTTTTCTTTCCTTTTTTTTTTTTTTTTTTTTTTTGGATAAAGGGAACAAAATATGAATTAATTATTCATTCCGCACAAATATGTTTAAGGAATGTCTTCTGTTTTTATTTAAAACCAGAAGTTTTTATTTTATTTTTAAATTTAATAAAATTGCAAAAATATTTACCTTTCAGAGGACTTTTTTCTTTTTTTTTTTTTTTTTTTTTTTTTTTTTTTTTTTTTTTTAAGTAATTAAGGATTTATTGTCAAGTAAGGAGAGAATTATTTTGCTGCACTAATATATATTAGTGTGAATGTAAACAAAAGCACACACTTTGCAGTTAAGTGGTTATACCTTCATGTGGTTCAAGAGAGCTTGTGCATTAGTTAACTATTGTATATAGTAATGGACATTTGGTTTGGGTAGATTAAGATCTCCAAGCCAATCACTTGACAAATTTGGTGTGTGTTTATATATTCTGCCCTTGCACATGTAGATGTAATCAAGTGCAGCAAAATAATTTTATCTCATTTTAATAGGGTATTCTTTTTATTTATCACTTTTTGTTAGAAATATGAAAACAGGAACAAAAGAAATACTGATT